AATATTATCTATCGTGTCATTATTGTAATGGCCGTTTCTTCAAAAATAATATACTTACAATTAGTTTTTGAATATCACTCCATTTTGACGTGTGATTATTCTACGTGTTCATTATTTGATAGGGTTTCGGAAAGACTACTGATATTTTATTATATCATTGTAAAGATCAGCAATAATTAGCATGTTTATAATGTTTTAAACTGTAGCAGTGGGCATGCTCAGACGCACCGTGTAGCGGCACGGGAGCGCCGACCGCTTCACATAACGGCAACGAATACCACATCACCAGACCGACCGCTCTTTATTGCAATATTTCTTTTATCACGGCAATTTGATGAGCTGTACTTTGTGTAATGCCGATGAAATTACGTCGACTGATATTATTTAATGTCAATTTATTGATATATATGACAATACATAAGCGTAAAAAATTAAGATCAAGAGTGAGAAGTAAACCACTTTGTTGACTAAGTTTTCTAAAAGGCGTTAAAGCTTACAAAAATAGACTGTAATTTTAATATAATTCAACTTAAATGTACTATTGCGGCTATTTTTAGTTTATTTTCTAAACAGCTGTTGATATTGAGTTCGTATGCCACGCACCCCCTGTGCGCCCTCAGGACAATGCCCTCGCCCTGCAACTGTCGACCTACAGTCATATCCTTTACATAGTCCTAAAATCATCCCGACAATATACATTACATTGTACAGATCGTGGCCCAATGTCTATGAACTCGGGTTCAGAGTCGGTCAAGACATGGTATGAGCATACCGTGTGTCATGTTGTTGACTCGCCCGCGAACAATTTGCAGATACCTATGTTTGTTTTATATTACGCTTAATGAAATTAAGGATCATTTATAAGTGTTACTTTTTATGACAATTATGTCCGAGTCGTTTGGAACTACCGTCGTTTTGAAATTATAATCCTCTTATTTTTTTTATCATAAAGTACCAATGAAATAGTATACAATTCTAATAATAATATTTTGCTCCGCACAAGACGCGAGTTCAATCGTGACAAAACAAATTGACGAACGCCGAGACGTTTCGTAGTCACATCTGATTTTATTTTTTTAAATGATTTGATTAAGAATTTATAACAAGCAGTTTTTTGTTGTACTTAAAATCGTGTCTACAATTAGATTTTGCATGACAAAAAGCAGTTTTTTGCTCTACAAAGAAAAACGACATCTTCAGTCGTTTTAATAATAAGTACAACAACACTGACATAAACTCTATATAAAATACAAAATAATTATCAAAATAGGTAACATAACCACAAAGCTTTTCTTGGAAGTCGCTTTAAAGATGGGAAACATTTACCAAAAGTAACTTGAGTTTATAACAACTTAGTCAAAGATAAATTCCAAAAACTTTCTTTAGAAACTCTTTTAGACTAATGAACTTGAAGTTCTCGCGAACCGTACGTCAGTGAAGTTGTAGACAGGACAAGTATTGACAGAAAGTTTCAATACACCAAATGTTAGCCTATACCAATGTTCTTGGAAACTAAATCAGGTTCCGCAACTTCAAAATTGGCTTCAAGAGTTCCAGTAGCTTATGTTAATTCAGTTACCGTAGCTTGTTAACAAGGAATTACCTCATTCACAAGTAGTTTATGTACAAGTATTCGTATAGTCTCAAACTTATCAGTTATTTTTCTAATTATTGGAGATTGTTTCTTTTCTTAAGTTAGTGAATTAAGAAAGAAAAACAGAGCAAAAAAATTTTGCCGTACCTAATGATGTTTTTTTGCAAGTAGCGTGCTTCAACATCTTCCAAGAACTGCTCTTAATAAATAACATCTTGTTCTGTAGAATAAGAAATAATTCATTAAGTATATTGTTTCATTAAGTTATATAAATACGAGACTTTTATTATTGCCGATTAGTTATGACCCGCTGAATAGTTATATAAGATAAATATGTCTTATGTAAAAATTAATACAATTTCCTTGTAGCATAGACAAATTAAACTTAATACATTTTCTGAGTTTATTGACGTAATAATCTTTTTAGAATAACTTATTAATATCATATTAAACTGATAATATACTTAAAACAATACTGTGTAATAATATAATACTTAGTTCAATAAATATTTTTATTCCATTCTGCCTAGCTATTAAAATTTATTGTAGTGAATTTTATTTCGTGAGAATTGAACAAAAAAGGTGTTAATTAATTAATATTATACGCAGAGCATCGTAATCATTTATGTAATTGGTCGAAACAAGTGAAAACAGATACTAAATGAATCTATGATGGACCATATGCACCAGTTGACCTGGTTAAAGCAGAAACGAATAACGGTAGTGTCGGCAGTCCAAAAGCCGGTAGTTACTTGGAAAGTAATCAGTTGGAAATGGCACTTTCTCTAGAACAGGTCCCAGCGCCGGCTGCGGTAGGACGTGCGCGTGCGCTTACGGCATTGGTACAGCCAGATATAGCAGATAGAATATGCGAGTTCATAACGAAACATGTCATAATTCTCTATTTATTGTGCTACAAGCTAATTATTAATAGTAAATCTCTTTCCTCAACTAAATTCTTCGAAAATACTACCTGATTCCTACCTGTTCAGATTAAAAATTTAGCTGGTCTCCAGATAGGCTCTTTAACCTTACTTAGGGTAAAAATTGTCATGAAATTTAAATGAGAATTGTGTTATTGTGGGTAGAAACGTGCCGTGCTACGCTGCAAATATTTACACGGATTGCTTCACTAGTACGTGACCGACGCCCGTGTGTTAAGTTGCTAATGAAGTTCGTCACAAATCACAATTCGTATGTACATGTCTTTCTGAGTGAGACTTGCCTTGGTACAACCTTGTAATCGCAGTTTCACAATAAGCAAACCTATTGCCATTTTCATTCTCCAATACAGAAGCTCAAGACGTTTGTTACATTACTGTCAATTTTAATCAAATGCCAAACCTTGGCAGTCAACGAATGGTCAATCAAATTTTGCAATGGACTTGCAAATTCTAACGGCCATTCAGTGAAAGGATCACCAGTTATGCCACGAGTTATACGGTCGCCATTAAAAATAAAGAACTGCGAAACGATGACTCGACGATTAAATGAAAAAGAAACGTCCCAGTCGGCGGGTGGAAGTGAGAGAGAATGTGAACCAAAACAAGTGCGTTACCCCCGCGAAGATAATCCATGTATTTATTTTTATTTATCTCCAATGTAGCGGGCCGAATGAGCAATACGATACGAATGTAGTAGTAGGCGCGTATCATGTTTATAAAGTGATCGTGAAATGGTTTTCATTACCATTTCAAATCATCTTTGTTTTGTACTCATATTTTGTCCTGTGCCATAGTTACCTTTCGCTCATAGAAAGGTTTTTTAGTTTCTCTGAAATAGGTTCTTGCCTAGGTCCTAATGGATGTGTAGACACTATAATTTACATAGGTAGATTGTATAATTTACGTACGTCAAGCGAAAAGCGACCCAAGTCAATAAAACGTAATTTTGAGAAATTTTTTACTTAAGAGGGTTAGTATATATTAAAGAATAGAGTATTTTAGTAATTTGTTTCAGACGTATTAGCCATTTTCAGATACTGAATTTTGATGCGTATTTTAAAAGTAAATCAAAACGACATTCTGCAATCTATTTGCATACATTTAAGTCTGCACGACACCCAGAACGGTGTTTTTGATTCTCAGAATACTTATTTTCGTACGTTACTTTATTATTCAATTCAAGAAAACAGATGTTTCTTTACGATATCATGGAGGAAGAAAACTTGATTTACAAAATTTATCCTCCATTTGATGCCTCAGTCTACATTCCATTGAATTCCGCACGCATTCTTTTGTGATTTATTTTCTTGTACTTATTTTTCGCTGCTAAACTGATAAAACTGATGCGTGTAGTTAGTGTACGATACCTTTGTGCAATGACAATGACCATGCTAGTCCAGCCAGTTCTTTTACATCATAACGGTTCTCCGAGATCAAAAAAAATTCCGAGATCAAGAAAGGGCGAAAGATAATAAACGCAAACACAGTGATGAAAAAAATATGCAGTTACCTAAGTTCTAAGTATTTTAGCTCAATTAGAAGTTCCAATTAGTAATAAATTTGAAGATAAGTAAACATGGGATTAGTAAATAGGTAGTTGAGGTACAAAATAATAGAGATAGCTATTGCCTATAATTTTAATGCGTACCTATTTTTAAAAGTGTTAATACAAATAATTTACCTTCTGTGAACTTGATAGGTTATGGTAGTCAATATGAATCTTTATTGAGTAGATATCAATGATGTGAACATGAATGTTGCCATAAAAATACAGTTTATATTATTGTAAAACCTTTTTTTAGCAATTTGTGTAGTAATAAGCGGTCATGCGCAATTCGACAAGCATTGTTATTTGCTGTAGCAACAGCAAGACGCGACCTTTACGCTCGAATACGTGGCCATGAGAACTCCTGAAGGTTGCGTACTCAACGATTACTGCCGCGTGCTTCCAGAGATTTATCTCCTAATTTACCAACTTAAATAGACTATAAGTAACACGAACAAAAGTGCTTTGAGATCTCTATATCTTCTCCAGATTCCGATAGCTGACAAATCTTGTACCTAAGCACATTCATGTGGCGGCACAAAAACAGCCTACAATACATACAATCTTCTGATATTGCTTGTTGCGTATGTGTGTGTATGTGCCAAGCCAATAGGTCGACCAACCAGTCGGCCAGACGTTCCCCCTCCCTCGCTCTCTCCTCCGTCTGTTCTCCCCTCCCCGTATCCCCCCATTGCACCAGCCAGTCAGCGTTTAGTCGGCGAGTAGTTTGTACGTTGTATTGCTGACGCTCGATCTTCTTTACGTCATACTTCATTTTGAGATGATTTAAAAGTCTTTTTTAGTAAGTGTCTTAGACTATACTGTTTTTGCTGCGTTAAAGCTTCGGGAACATAATTTATCTTTTAGTGCGTACTTTCTATATTCTTATTCTTACTACCGCTTTGTCTTGTTACAGGTACCTACTTGGAACTGGGTGTGAACCCAGATACGGTGTGTGAAGTTTTATGTAATAAAGAAGAAACTAAATAGATTGTGTATATTTAACGTGAGTGTGTGCGTAACGATAAAATTGGATTATAGTGAAGTTTTTATTTTAAAAAGTGAAGTGTACTCTGCAAATTGCTCTGCGACTGTTATGTGCGGTAAACAAGTGATTTGTGTCATTTATTGGATTTTTATTTGCTTGGATTACTAGCAGCTAAATGGCAATTGTAAGTACCTATCCGTCTAAGTTGTTTACTGTCCCTAAGTGTAAACACTGACCGTTTCTTTTAATATTCGGAAACTCGGTTTGAATTCAGTAAAAATATAATATTATTTTATTAGGTAGCTACTACGACTTGAAACTTATGTCACTGATTTTAAAGTACCATATCTACTTTTGAGTAAAATTTTATAATATTTACTTTACCTGGTATTTAGGTCAGTAACAGATGTTCAATATTATGTTTATATTGAATTCGAGCCAACTACTAAGAAAATACAATGAAAACAAAAATATAGGTTTTTGTTCGGATATCAGGTATAAACAATTTTTTTTTCCAGAAAACTGCCTATTTATAAATGTGTGAAAAATAAAAATAAAGTTATCTGACTGTTAGGTTCGATAAATTACTGAAATAACTAATTATTTTTAAATTAACTTACTGCTTTTTTATTGAGGTAGGTAAATAAATAGGGTTTTTTAAAAAGTTATTCCATATTCTGTAGGTAAAAAACAAGTTTATAAATATGCACAGTTTTTTAAATTTATTTCAACGTAAGTAGAATAAGACGTAGATGTGATTGTAGACAATCGGGTGCGCGATCGTTGTAAATTCTCACATTCAGGTGTTTTTATAGCGTTCGGATATTGTTGGCATTCTGGGTCTATTCTCCACGTAGGTATAGATAATTGCTCATTGTGAATTGTTAGGCAAGGTTGAAAAGTTAATGAGACATCGAGATTGCGAATATACGGGCGCCATCTTCTCGTATTGACTGACGCGCATCACGACCTCGTGTGCAAGTTCACTAAATTTAGAACGCGGTTGACACTTTGTTCCCGATATCTAACTAAATATTATTTACACTTACATCCTGATATTTTTTGCCTCATTACTTATTCTTTTAGTCCTTTATGTTGAGGCTGTATTGACGCCGGAGAAACGGCTTCTCACGTAATCCTGAAATGTGTAGCTGTGGCCAGTCAACGTTCAGAAATCCTCGGAACAGTGATGTTGCTCCTTGAGGCATGTGAAGATACTAGGAAGCTTATTTGCTTCTGGGCGGAATTTGGCTGGCTACACTAGTACTACGACTAATACGTACAACGGCCCAAATGAAAGGCTTAAAGCGGAAAAAGAGGGTAATTTACATTTCGTACCTATTTACGTATCGGCTGTTAATCGAAAATTTGTAGGAATTTATTCCAATTTCGATGAAACTAAAAAGTAAATGATTTAGTTTTAATATCAATTAAAAATATATTGATGGAAAAAATATTTCTCTATGTAACATAGAAGAGTTAGGAAAAATATCTACAACTATTTTGTAAATCACTAAATTTTAGATAAATGGTAATGGGATCGATTCTGAACCACTATTTCTCTAAACCTACCTCCTATTTAACCGAATACCTATTTTAATTTGATAGTTTCACGAAATTAGTGTTTTAGGGACCATAGTAAACCACATAGGTAATAATTTGTTAGTTTTGACTTAAATTTGTTAGAAATATAGTTCCTATTGTCTCTTTGAATGAATATTTATGTAAAATCAAATTGATTTTTTATTATTACTTTATTCTTTATTTTATTTATTTATTCTTTATTGAGTATATTACAAAAAAATTTCAGTACAAAAGGTGGGCTTAATGCTATATAGCATTTTCTCCCAGTCAACCTTTGGCAAAATGGAAATGTAATTATGCGGTGAAAAATTAAAAATTATTGTAGATAAACAGTTACAGAATTTTAATTATAGAGCTAGATTTAATGAGAAGGTACTTCAGAATCGACCCCATTGGTTATATTATGCATAATATAACCCATCGTTATATTATGCTCCCCTAAGACGGTCAAAACTTGAAACCACTGTTTTGATTTGAAACCTCAAACTAATTTAGATTGTTTATGCTTTAATTTACTAAATGAACAGATTTGAAATTGGCCTTTTAGTTAAACTACATAATAATTAGTTTTGAACAAGTTTTTGATATCTATTTCATGTCCACCTTTGTAGTATCCTGTTCGGTAATTGTGATGGGCATACCTGAGGGATATACCTTCAAATTACTATCAAATATTTCGTCATACGCGTACCTATTATATATTTTTTTAAAATAGTTTGTTCTTGGCAGGGCAATCGGGTTTTGTAATTTGCGGTTTACTTGTTTATTTAAAAGCTTTCTAATGAGATAGGTTACCTTTATAACCTACTACCGTGTTACACTTTTTTTTTAAATTGTTACTAGGTAGAATGAAAAGTGAAAACAGCAATTTAGAAAATGTAGAAATACCTATCTAAATGATAAAAAGAGTATTCAATGCATGTGAAGTTCGAGTGTGACACGGATTAAATAAGTTTTTTTGTGATATTTACTTTTATTTAACTCATTAATTTTGAATGTTAAATGACGGGCTAGATGGGCTTGAATTATAAATCGGCGAGTAAAATACGTAGGTGTGAGAGTCATGGACACGTGACATGTCAGATACAGCTAAAAATCGGATTCTTCATGTGCGTCACCGCCTAATATTATATTAATTATAGGGGATTTGTTTCATTGTTCCTTCCTTCCTCAAATTGGATTGTTTGATATAAGTATATAAATACTTAACTACTTTTTCCTCGTTACTTTTATTTAATGGGTGATAATGGAAAGGCAACCCAACTGGTATAAGCTGGCGGGGCACCAGTGAGGGATGATAGGTGACGATGAAAGCAGGTCAGTTAGCCAATCGTGACGAATTCTACTATAATTAATCACGATGATTTCCAGAGGAAACCGTGTGGAAATCGACCTGTTAGTGTATATTGCTAACAGTAGGTCAATTAGACCCCATTACTAATAATTCCTTTACCCCCTTTCTCGTTACTAATCCATGTTGCAATTTGACAACAAATTATAGTTAATTTTTTCCGCAAACAGTGTCGTTTTTTGAAGAGGTAGGTGGTCCGCCCGTAATTGTATAGCAAATTTGTGGTTGCGAGAGCTGTGCTATGAAGTGAGTACCTACCTACATGCTAGTAAGTAGGTCAAGGCACGATCGCGGGCGTTCTGCGTTTCCTCCTAGGTTGGCATCACCTAGCGCCGAGCGGCGCCACACAGGTTATCCAAACAAAACGGAGAACTGTTTATATTTTACTAAATAAAATATTAGAGAAAACTTAAATAAAATTTCTCGGGTCTTCGCCATTTTTGTAGGGCTGTTGTCGCTGTCGTTCTTAAGTTTTGTCCACATTTCGTCGATCAAACACTACAGTGGGCCAATTTACTCTTGTTTTTTGGATAAATTTGGTTATTTTACGGTTTTTAATATCACTTGAGAGCTAATCGTTAATTTGAATTACCACACACATTCTATTGTCGACGAAGTTTGAAATCACGACTTATTGATTGTATTTTTACAAAGTTAATATTTAATATGTCATTACTTAAAGCTCATTCAGGTGCCTACTTATCCAGATATTAATAGAAATCGTGCCTTACTTATTTAACAACGTAATATATTACGTTCCTACTTACTTTATAAACTAAGTATGTATAATATACTTGACATTGAGGCTTGTCAAGGTTTAACTAAGTTTACATGAAGTATTACGAACTATACACATAACCGGTTTTTTTCAAAAAACTAGAGCTCTCAATACATAAGTATAAATAAATAGCCTAAGTATCATCACAACAACGTGTCATAATGTGTGATTGAAAATCAAATAAGTCCTTAACATTACTAATATTATAAATGAGATAATGAGTTTGTTTGTTTGTTTGTATTATATGTTTGTTTGTAAGTTTAACTGTTAGCGCCTTAATGACTTAAGCATTTACTGTGAAATTTAGTACACACTTAATATAATATTAAGGTAGTACAGCTACTTTTCATCAATCAGTCAGTGAATATATCCAAGTCAAGCAAATATTGTAGCGGGTAAAAGTTAGTGAAGACATAAAATTATTTAAAAATTATATCTTTATCACGTAGATTATGTGTATCGTATCTTATCGCTACTTTGACCGCTGTGTGTCGCTACTATTATGAGGAAGAGTCTCGTTAGTTTGTTCCAACGTTAGATCAGCCTCTATTAATATAAATGGCTTTTGAATGCTAAATATTAAGGCGGAGTTAGAAGACCAAAGAACGGAACACGAGCTAGAATAGAAAAAGAACAAGATAGATTTAGAGAAAAAAAAAACAAAGTACTAATTTGTTAGTCAATGTAATTGCAACTGTATTTTCTTGGATTTTAAGTATGTTTATACTAAACAATATTCAAACGATTATGACAATTATTTATATTTATTTTTATAAATAAAATATCGTAGACAAAGCGGAATTATTGCTGTACCTGGAGTTATTCTCTACCATCTAACTTTTGGGATTTTTGTATAGAAGCTGTGCGTATACGTTTTAATACAATATATGGGGGAATCAACTGAATTTCATTTTCATTCTCACTTACCATTCCACACTGGAATTTAATTACCCCGCCAGTGTATACCGTTAGGACAGGCGGAGTTACCATTCCATTATCATCCATACAAAAAAAAAAACAGTGTATTAGAATTCGTTCGAGAGGATTCGCTCGCGTGGTCTAAATCCAACGTTAAAACGTGCAAACAATATTCATATTCGTTCCTTTCAATTAACATAGACTTTGTCAACCAACTTGACCTAATTCATGTCTATACTTTCTGAAATTACATCTTGTGAATGTAATAAAATCGCCGTGTGGTCCCTCCCTACGTAGAATGGGCCACCCCTTCCTATCCCGTGGGTATCGTAATAGGCGACTAAGAAAATTTAATGGTCGAGGGATGAACAGCAACGTCCCTCTTAGAACATCACCAAAATCTAACTGCGTTTGCCAATCCGCTTGTAAAGCGTGGCAACTACTGGCAAAACCCCCATATAGGGGAGGCCTGTATTGAGCAGTAGGCAGTTAGCGGCTGATATGATATGATGAGATGTAATAAAAAATAAAATGTAACAAATTTATTTTATTT